TTTTTTTGTGACCACTCATCTGAATTGAGTCCCCGGTATCATCTCCTCTTGCCTGGAGATTTCCCAGATCCTGGTCTCTCTGTTATCCTCCAGACTTTAGTCCCCTCCCTTACTTATCAGGTCCCAACTGYGGGACCTCTCCCAGGGCTCACACCAGGTGGCACAGCTCTGTTCACACTGCACTCCTGTCCAACTGAGAGCTGTTTTTGTGTTGGGTGGTCACCGTGCTRAATTACCATCACTGGGTAGGTAGGGGATTGGAAATCAGGTACCTGCTCAGATGGCCATCCAATCTGTTAGTCATGCCCACCAAAAAATGGTGAGGAAGGTTTTCAAAGATGGAGTTGGTCTGCTTCCAGCGCCGGGGTGTCTGGTGAAGTCAGGGGAGCTGGGTGATGGCCTTGTGCTATGTATAGGTAGCAGCTGAGTGATCTGCATGGGAGCAGAGTGCAGTTYGGAGTTCTGCAGAGGTGCTGATAGATAGTTCTGCTAAGCCGCTTGTGAGCCTTGTGTGAACTAGAACTGCAGGCTTTGGTTCCGGTATCTGGAGACTTACTCGAGCACAGAGGCTCTGATTTTTTTCATGGGTGGTTGCAGCGCTGGTTGTTTCTGCGAAAACTCGCTGTATAAGGGTCCTCTCACACTCTCTGAGATGTTGTATTCCATCTAGGTGAGACCTTGTGGAGAAGCTGCCTATCTGCTTTCTTGGTTTCATGCCAYAGAGCAGCCAGTAATGGGACCTCCTCTATTCCATTATCTTGGATCAGTCTTCTCCCAAAGTCTTGCGGTGAAAACTTGGTCTCCAGTGCAGCAAGACTCGAGGTGGGACTTCTTTTTTTAAAAATTCTTTTTTTAGTTGTAGATGGACACAATGCCTTTATTTTGCTTATTTATTTTTATATAATCAGTGGTGCTCAATATTGAACCCAGGGCCTCATGCTGCTAGGAAAGCACTCTACCCCAGCCACAACCCAGCCCTGAGGTGGGACTTTTAGGCAATAATTGGATCATGAGGGTTCTGACCCCATTAGTGGATTGATAGCTGAACGGAGTCAGTCAATCATGGACTGAGACCTTTGAAACCATGAGCCAAAGTAAACTTTTCCTTCTCTACTTATTCTTGTCAGGTATTTTGAAAAGTTGATTAAAGGTGTTTTAATCAACTTAGTATCCTAATATACTTTGGAAAAGTGAGTTGCAACCCCTAAATTCTCCTTGGTTTGCTTGTTGCCTGGCAGTATTACTAGGAGGCAACAAGGTAATAAGTATAGAGTAATAGCTCCAAAACATAGCTCCACCCCAAACATTGCCACCCTTGTATTTCTAATGTATTTGTCGTGGTCCTCTCTCTCTAATGTTTTTCTTTTTCCTAAATGTTCTTACTCACTTAAGGAAGACTTCCTCCATGGTAGTGACAGAGATGCCAAAGCTAGCAATGCCCAGCTCTGTCTGTCTTTCTTCCAGAGCAGTGAACAGAGCTTCAAACCTAGAAGTAGAAGAGAAAAAGCTGGCACTAAACTAGATGGTTTTTGTACTTATTTCTTTTTATTCTAAACTGATTTCCCCTTAAAAGTAAGGAAAATGTAAATCATTCTTCACTTCAATACTTAGTAAAATTTCAGCACCATTGGTATACCAGAAAGGTGGAATAAATTGCTTCCTACTCAGTTCTTGGATACATATAATTTTTGTCAAGAGACTATATATGTTAATACTCCAATTAGAGGATATGAATTTACTTAGAACACACACATATATATGCTATCAGTAAATAAAAAAGAAAATCATATTTAATAGAAAAAAGGCACTCAGAAACAGAAAATGGAGTAATTACAGTAAACTTAAAGACAGAATGTGGGGGCTGGGGTTGTGGCTCGGCAGTAGAGCCTAGCACATACAAGGAACTGGGTTCAAACCTCAGCACCACATAAAAATAAATAAATAAATAAAAGGTATTGTTTCTAACTACAACTAATTTTTTTTAAAAAGACAGAATGTGATTAAATATCTAGAAAAATCTATAGAAATTGCAATGATTACACTATACAGAAATGAAGAACAGACTAGTAGAAGTTGAGCCATTTGCAATGTAGACATAGCCAGGCTTTAAAAAAATTTTTTTTAGTGTTACTGGACCTTTATTTTATTTATATGCGGTGCTGAATATTGAAACCAGTGCCTCACACAGGTGAGGCAAGCACTCTACCACTGAGCCACAACCCCAACCCCCATATCCAGACTTTTAAAAAACAGTTTTCCTGGAAAGATCTTATAGCACATTGTGTTCAGAATAATATATTTTCCAGAAACTTCCAGTTCTCCTAACCACCTCTTCTACATTCTCAATGAAGGGCAACTGAAATATTTCAGTGTTGGGAGAATTAAAAAKTCTCTTTGGAAAGAAAGTCTATAGGATTTCATATTCAAGCTTACATTCAGTCTAGTTTTTTACATTAGTTCTTGAGGTTATACAGGACCTAAATCCACCTACCTGACAGCTTTTCAAATTTCAAGTTCACTTTCTCCCACTTCTTCATTCCTAGTACATGGCTTTTTAACTGAGATTCCTCCATGTTTTCTTTTTTAATACTTTAGTTATGAAATCAATGTGTGCATTGTACAACATTCAGCAAATAAATGTATGAAGAAAATAAAATCCATTATAGCACTATGCCTCACAGATAGTCAACTGTTAATACATTTATGTTTTGGCATGCTTTATACAATATATAMCAAAAGAAAGAGAAGACTATGTCAAGAAAAGAGAAGGTTACGTCTATGTCTTCCTAGGTATTAGAAAAATTACAAGTTTTAAATTAGAATGAGATTGTCATGTTTCCAGTTTTATAATACCACACAAATAGATGAAAAAGCACAGGCTTTGGAGGTAAWTGGGCCCGTGTTTTATTCTAACCTCTGTTACTAATTACTATTTAATAGTTTAATTTGATTTACTGCTTGATTTAGTCCTTCCAACCTTGAGTCATTTTATTTATTATAAAAGGTAAAAGAAGTAYATTTAACATTTATTCCTTTTCAGTCACTTTTTGATGGTCTGATGAGCTCACATATATTTCATCCTAGCTTGGAGACATGAACTTATGTTTAGCTGTGAACAGCACCCTGAAGACATCTCTTTCCTTGTTGTTTGTTCATGCCTTTTAAATTAGAAGATCATTCTCTAATCAAAAATAATGAATCACAAAAGAAGTTGAAGAATTTTGCTTTCTTGGTGACAATACTGAAGTTCTTGGTTAAAGTTCAATTTTAAAATTTCCTTTTTCTCATTGTCATATCCCAACTTCAAAATTCCAAATGGAGGTCTGGGGTTGTGGCTCAGTGGTAGAATGTTTGCCTAGCACGTGTGAGGTCCTGGGTTCGATCCTCAGCACCATATAAAAAATAAAATAAAGATATTGTGTCCATCTACAAYTGAAAAATAAAATAAAATAAATTCCAAATGGAATTTAAAGACAAGTAAAGGTTAAATTAGAGGAAGAGATCAAGACACTTCAAAAGATTCATCACCAATGCAGAACTCAGTTCAAATTATTTTATTTGAATTAATCATGTTTATATTTAATTTCCTTTGAATTCTTTCCTAATTTGCCAATTCCAATCTCAAATACTAGTCTGCTTCTGTTCTGCCAAAGAGAGATTTTGAACAATCMTATCTTTCCAACTTTGTTGCATAGAAGCCAGGATTGTTTAAAACAATGTTATCATGTACACATATTTTGGAGTATACACAATATCAAACAGACACACATTGTGGAATGATTAAATATGCTTATTACCCCATATAGTGGTAATTTTGTTATAAAAACATACCTAATATCCACTTGCTTAGCATTTTTCAAGAATCTAATATATCATCATTAACTGAAGTTATTATGCTGTAAATAAATCTCTTGAACTTATTCCTCCAATCTAACTGTAATTTTTTTGAATTTTCACTTCACAAGTATTYTTCTTCTTTCTTTATTTTATCTATTTGGGGATCAAATGTGTCTAGTTTTTTAAGGCTTAAACTGAGCATAAATTCTTGAGATAAATAACAAAATATGTTTATATTCCATTTTTAGACAAAGGAAAATTTTAGAAGAAAATAGCCTAAAAAGAGTCTCTAAGGCTATGTTTATGGATAAATTTTTAACTAACTCTCTTATATTAAGGTTACATTAACTGTAATTTTGTATCCCCTGACCAACATCTTCTGAATTCCTGAATCCAAATGCCCTAGTCTCTTCTCTGTTTCTATGAGATATAATTTTAGATTCCACGTGTGAGATCAATCATGCATATCTGTGCCTGGCTTATTTCATTTAACATAATGTCCCTTTAGTTCATCCCGTGACAGGATTTCATTCTTTTTGTGGTCAAATAGTATCCCATTGGCTTATATGCCACATTTCTTTATCCAYTTATTTGTCAATGGCCATTTAGGTTGATTCCATATCTTGACTACTGTGAATARGGCTGCAATATCCGGGAGTGCTAATATCTCTTCAACATACTGATTTCTTTTCCTTTGGATATATAATAAGTAGGATAAATATCTCACATGGTGATACTATATTCAGTTTTTTTCTTTGAGGAATCTCTATACTGTTTTCCAAAATGGCTGTACTAATTTACATTCTTACTCCACAGTGTAAGGGTTCCATTTCCTTCACATCTTTGCCAACACTTATAATTTGTTTCTTTGATAATTATGGCTTTTAATTTGTATCCCCCTGGTATTAAGTGATGCTGAATATTTCTTCATATACATCTTGGCATTTTTATTGTCTTCCCTTTTATTATGGCACTGGGGATTGAACCTATCCATGTCCTTGCATATGTTAGGCAAGCACTCCATCACCAAACCAAGGTACATAATTATATCTCCAACCCTGTGTTTGTGATCCTACTGCATTAGCCTTTTGAAATCACAGGCATGTGCCACCACACCCAGCTGTATGTCTTGAGAAATGTCTATTAAGGTCTTTTGCCCATTTTAAAAAATCAGGTTGCTTCTTGAATTTGAGTTATGTTTCTTATATATTTTGGATATTAACCCCTTATCAGATGTGCAGTCTGAATTTCTTTTTCTCCCATTCTTTAGGTTGTCTTTCTGTAGTTGTTTTCCTTTGCTGTGCAAAAACTTTTAGTTT